AAAAAAAAAAAAAAAAAAAAGCAGTTCCTTAAAAAAAAAAAAACCTACCACCACCATCACTGAGGGATGAGTGGGTGTGGGTGAGCAACAGCGCAAACAGCATCTCTGAGCAGGCAGGATTAGGATTCTTATGCTGGAAGGAAGCCAAGATTTGAGCCTTTTAAAGCTTCAATAATTGAAAAATAACTACTAAAAATCTGTCTGTATCTAAGACAAAAAATAATGCTCTTAACAGTATGTTGTACACATGGACTTACTACCCCAAGCTCTAAAGAACAGCCTGTTGCCACAGTGCACTAGAAAACACAGGTTTGTTTACATTAAGTTTAGATGCAGATTGGAAGTTACAAGCCTTTTTTTGGTCGTTTGTTTTTACTTTGTGTTTTTTTTCTCTGTTAAGTCTAGGTTCTACCACTAACTAGCTGTATGACTTCGGCTAAAAGTCATTTGAAATCCATGGGCTACAAGATGATTGTTGTTGTTATGTGCCGTTGAGTCAGCCCCAACTCATAGCGACCCCTCCTTGGGTTTCCGAGGTCGTATCACTACGGAAGTAGATTGCTTTCTTCTGAGGAGTGGCTTGTGGGTTTGAACCGCCAGCCTTCTGGTTAGCAGTCAAATGCCTTAGGCACTATGCTCCTTACAAGATGATAGGTGAATTTCATTCTTTATTACAGTGTGACAATCTGATGATAATTGCTTCAATGATAAAATGGTAGTGACAAGTATGATACACATGCAAGAAGTGCTATTTTGGGCTCCAGATTAGTGTTCCGTAGGATTAATTCTTCATTATCCGTATGTTGTAACTGTATCTAACCCGTGAGTCTCAGTAGAAAAAAAAAAAAATTTAAGTGTGGTATAATTGTGGGGAAGAGGTACTGTGATTGATTGGAAATTACTTAAGGTTTTTTGCAGGCTGAAGTTTCCAGGTATCAAAAGTATTTGAAATAAAGCTTTATATAGGTGGTAAATAGGAAAAAGGAGAAATAAGAGGAGGGCTATGGACCAAACTGAAGTCAGAAGCCTTCACTGCTTTTCTATCTCTTCTCATAATGTCTCCAGTACTTTTGGGTATAGTACAAACAAAACAAAATAACAACAACAAAAAACACAGAAATTACATAAAATCATATTAAGGGAAGAAAAAAACCCTTATGAGACAAAAGCAAAGTAAAAACATTCCTCAACTTGCTCAGAGTAGACTAAAGCTTGTATGTCTATGGCTGATAATACTCATCTTTCCTCAAAATCCTTCATGCCTGCTGAAATCACTTTCCCAAATGCCTTTGACCTAGGAACCTGATACCTACTGTGCTTGCCTTTTATCACAGGGATAGTGACCGAAATCTACATTACCAGAACCAAGATACTAATACTAACCCTGAAGTGTGACAAAAAAAATACTCTTTACTAATTCAAACAAAAACCCTACCACCTTACCAAAAAAGGGAAGGACAGCCAACAGCATTAGAAAAAATTTAAATTTTATTTAACATTCACTCTTATAGTAATTGTATGAAAGATTATTACTAAAGGTCACTTCACAAAGTGGCTGCAAAATGGCCTAAAGCACCCATTTTATACAAGATTTCTTTTTCCATGGAATTCATCACAGACCCACCAAGAAAACAGTTTCAGCTAAATAGTGTTGAAGTGGTAGAGATAGCATTTATATAAAGTGTACTCAAGAAGGCAGGATTCTTTTAAATTCCAGGATTTCACAAACTTAATGGACAGCTTCATATTCAAGCTTTAGTGGAAAGGGTTTCCAAGAAACAGTTCTAACCTTTAAAAAATGACACCATCAAAAAAACAATTTGCTCTGTACTTTCACCCAATTACAATAAAAACAAAAATGGCACCGCAGATGAACTATTACTCGTCACTGCACAGCTCATAGCCCCAAGCCATGGCATCTTCAGTCACTTCATATGCATGGGAAAACTTGACAATGAAAAAGGAAGACCAAAGAATTGACACATTCAAATTGTGGTGGTGGCGAAGAACACTGAACATACACCATGGGCTGACAGAAGAACAAAACAGTCTTGGGCTAAGTACAGCCAGAATGTTCCTTAGAAGAAAGGAGGGTACAACTTTGTTTCACTTAATATGAACACATCATCAACAGGGATAACTTGCTGGATAAGGACATCATGCTTCGTCGAGGATCAACCAAAAAGAGGCAGACCCTCAATGAGATGGATTGGCACAGTGGCTGCAACAACAGGACCACACATAGCAACAATCATGAAGATAGCATGGGACCAGGCAATGTTTGTTTTATGTAAGGCCACTATGAGAGCAACTAACAGCAGCAGCAGCACTACTAATTTGTGATTAAAGATAAATCACAGGGAGGTCACATGCACCCACCACACATCCATCAGTAGATGTGTGTGTGTTGCTATGTTGCTAACAGGCTTCAGTGGATTTTCCAGACTAAGAGTAGGGAGAAAGGCCTGGTGATCTATTTCCAAAAATCAACCAATAAAAACTCTATTGATCACAATGGTCCACACTGATCTTGGGGATGGTACAAGACTAGGCATCATTTCCTTCTATTGGTCACTAGAATTGGAAGCTGAGAACTCTAAGAGGATGGTGGGAAGCTATCACTATTAGTCTGAGGACTCCACTCCAGCTGTTCTTGTTCAATACCATCTGCTGAGCAGGCACAATCCCCTTCCTAGTGTGTCAGCAAAGGCAGTTCCAAGGTTTGATGGCAATAGATCACCTATAACTTCTTCTTTTGCTACCTCCTTCTGTTGCTATTGACTGCTGTGGCCATCTGCTATAGCTGTACCATGTTCAGTCTGCAGACAAAAAGGGAATCATGGTGAGATTCTAATCCCAGGCCCTAATCCTCATCCCCACAGATATTGCCTCCTGCCCAATTACCTAGCTGTATATCACTAATCCCAAGTGAAATCCTCAAAATATTTCCTGCACTTGGTGCCACAAATCATTTTACTGAATGCATTTGATTCTAATTAGTCTTTAGTACTCTGAAGTCAAGTTAGCTGGGCAAAGATTAGGGAGAAAGATAATCTGTATTTTCCTTTACTTTTCGGCACTGTAAAGTCTGGATGTAGACATGGAGACTTCATATGTAAAACAGCACCTTGATCAAAACCTTTTCCCCAACATGTCAGTCACAATCCCTTGGGGGGAGAGAATAAGAGGTTGATGAGTGTTGGCAGCATTTATTTCCAATGGTGCAGCGAGTGTTCTATCATTATTTTTGCCCCTCCACCAATTCATCCTATACTCCCTTAAACTGAGTTTATTTTCTACATTCCCAGCCCTGGTGATGAATTTGCACTTTGCCACTCCTTAGACAATCACCCTTGTGTCTGCCTGCAGGCCGTACGACTGGCCCTCCTTTGTCTTTCTGACCTCTTTCCTCCACTATATACCTTCTTACCTGCCTAGTCCATGGTACTGGTCCTTCCCCCCTGCCCCCTGCCCCAGCCTCAGCCACATCCTATTCCTCTTTGGCCCCCTCAGTGCTCCTCTGGATCCTCTACTTTAAGAGGCCTTCACACTTGGCTGCTGAAGAGGGCACCAAGAACTGGGCACAGACTGCCCCAGGGAAGGAGGGTCTGGCAGAATGCCTTAAGACAGTTGGAAGTACACACAAAGGAGAAAATAAAAAGACATTCCTGTAACATCCATTTGCTCAGGATAAGAGTACAGAGGAACAGAAAAATTATTCTCTAATACCATAAGCATATCTCACTTGTACCTCTTTTAGCTGTCAAGAAAAAAAACAAAACAGTAATTAGTAGTGTCTATAATCTGACTCTGACTAATGTAGAAATTCATATGGAATTGTGTCCCTAATAGTATCTTCACGATAGCTCATACTTCCTTTCTGCAAATATTAATTCAGAGCTTCGAATGTTAGAAAGAGCTCTGGGGGTACAGCGGTTAAGGAATTTCACTATTAACCAAAAGGTCAGTGGTTTGAACCCACCAGCTGCTCCATGGAAAAAAGATGAGGCAGTCTGCTTCTGTAAAGATTTAACAGCCTTGGGAACCCAATGGGGACTGCTATGAGTTAGAATCAACTGGATGGCAATGAGTTTGGTTTTTGGTTTTCTAATGCTAGTGTAGTGAAGCAATTTTAAATGTAGAAAACAAAAATGGGAAGTTTATTCAAACTCAAACATAAGGCAGGTAAAGGGTAAGAAATTAAATATAAACATAGCAAGTTCTAACCCAGCCCAGTTCTTCCAAGGCTGCATGGTCAAATGGAATCTCTGCAGAAAACATCTGGGAATCTGTCAGCGCCGCCTCCGGTCTGGACTCCTGCTGCGTCTTCGGCCACCTCTGGGGAAAAGAAGGGGGTGGGGGTGGGATCCATCAGAATGACATCATACAAAATCGTTGTTCTGTTCCACTCACAATCCCTTGACCAAGTTAGTTTAGTCACTCTCCTCACCACCTTACCTCCTCTTACTCTTGGGTGGACCTCGAACAAAACACCAATCAACACTGATGGGCTGGCCCATCAAATCCTGGCCATTGAGTCCCTCCATGGCAGCCTGGGCCTCTTTGTATGTTTCATACTCAACTAGAGTATACCCCTAGTGCACATAAAAAGACAGATATCAAACCTGTTCTGTGTCACCAAGCATCACCAGATATCGTCCTTCCTCAAATCTAAACTCTTATTTAAGTAGAAACTTAACAAGTTTTCAAAAACCAACCGTATGGGAGAAGGGAGGCAAAGAAATATCACTTAGGATACCTTCAGATATCCTGTACGCCTGTCCAGATTGAGATGGATATTTTTTATTTCTCCATATTCTGCAAATTTATCATGGATGTCTTCTTCCGTGGCTTCCTCGTGAACTCCAGTGACAAAGAGAATCCAGCCTTCAACAGCTGTTGGGTGGGGGGGAAGGTAAATGGAGATGGTTTTGAGCACATGAGAAATGAAAACTTCAAGCAAGACTATGGGGGTAGAGAGAGATTGCAGACTTCACAGCTTTTTCGGGCTATTGCTGACTCCATTCCTTTTCGGTTTTATTTAATTGGTCCTAACACAGAACCCTCCAGTGGCTCCATTTCACTCACAGCGTTGTGGTCCAGGTTCATCGCCATCCTGCTCCACACTGTCGTAATCTTCACGCATCCGCGCTCGGGACCCCTCTTCTGTAAGAAATACACACCACATCACCGGGAATTTCCTTCTTCTCCCACTGTTCCCTATGATTCTGGGAGGGGTCTCCAAAACTCGTAGCTCCCGCCCTTCTAGACCACTCCACTCTATTTTCTCCACAAACACTCACCCGAGCCAAAGCCGCGGCCCTTCCGTTTCTTTGCTTTTTCTTTCAATTTGTGGATGCTCTCTGGTGCCCCGAACAAAAAGGAGTGAATAAAAAGATAACAGCCATTTACAACAACTATTTGCCAAGACAATATCTAAAGTGAGAGTTCCCACCGCCCCCAGTTCCAGTCCCTTCCCGGTCCCACAAAGAGGCCTCCCAAAGGGGGCGGAGTCTCCTCTAATCCCGGCTCCCGCTCGCCCTGCCCGGTAGAAGGGAGACTGTGTTTTCCTATTTCACCCTTATCTCGCTTCCCGCAGCCGCTCCACTGTCCTCACCGTCCCCATCCTCATCCATAGCGAAATCCTCGCCCCCGGCCTCATGAAGATCCAGCACGTCTGCCATCCTGCCTTCTCGTGGACTAGCTCTCGTCTGTACCACTCAGGCTCTAGTAGTGAATCTCGGGAAACTGGCGCGGAGGAGAAAGGTCGCCAGTGACGTTGACCAATCAAAAGCCAACTTTAACGTCTTACCCTGCGCAGTTTAAATACGCAATGGAGGCGGGCCTCCGTCGGAAAGATGACGTAAGTGAGCCGGTAGCATTCTGGGGCAGGCCCTGCAATGTTGTGAGCGTTAATCTATGGGGATTAGGCGGAGTCAGTGACTTCCCCTTTACTAAAGCCGCTGAGGAGAATTGCGGTCGGTGAAGCCAGGCCTATTTTCTTTATTAGAAGGTTACTTTCTGTCGCTTCCCACCACATGTAGGAAGTGAGGATTGAAGAAAATTATAGGTCTGTACCCTGTTCTGAGGTACAGCCCCATGTCTGATAGTAGCATTTAAAAAAAAACACTGCATTCAGCAATGTTGGCTCAGAAAATTTCTTTGGAACGTGCTGCAGCACAGAGTATATCTTTTTTAAGGAAACTAACAGCCCGAGTGTTGTGCCCAGATCTTGAATCCCCAAAAACCACCAAGGAGCCGATTCCACTGCAAAAGCATAGGGGTTTATTCAAACTCGAGCTCGGACCCCCAAACGTCACCGACACAGCGGCTCAGGATTGAGAGCCCCGAACTCAGGGGTAATGGGGTTTTTATAAGGGGTACAGCAGGACCGCGGAAGTTTCAATCAGAAAATTACAGGATTGGTTGACATTTTTCAAATTGCTAGTTGTTCCTACTTGATTGGCTCTGTCTTGTGGGCCAAAGCGAAGCCACAAACTGCCGTTTCTAACTATTTTAAATAAGGTATTTCTCTACCATTTACTGATTGGTTGTTGCTAAGGGGAATGCTTGGGAGTATTGATGAGGTGGGGGTAGACTCTGTTGTTTTTCTAGTAACTAAAGCACTAAAGCGTGAAGTAAATGCTAAGGTATATTGCAAAATGGCTACATACTTAAAATGGTTACATTGTTGTTGTTGTTGTTATGTGCCGTCGAGTCAGCCCCGACTCATAGCGACCCCTCCTTGGGTTTCCGAGGCAGTATCACTACGGAAGTAGGATTGCCCAACCTTCCTTCCGAGGAGTGGCTGGTGGGTTTGAACCGCCAGCCTTCTGGTTAGCAGTCAAGTGCTTTAGCCACTACATACAGGGTGGTTATATAGAGACATGGTCTCACATTCCTCCCTTTCTCTTGGCACTAAACTCAATCATGAGTTTGCTGGTTATCATATATTGGGTTATAATGTATTGTACTAACACCTGAATCGTCTTGGTGGAGTAGTTGATATTGTTGCCTGAGGACCATGAGTTGTACAGAGTTTATCTTTTACAAAGTTGACTAATCTGTTTAGAATACAAGGCCCAACTGTTAGTAAAATTAGTTTTATAATGATTGGTCCTGCGAGAGTAGATAACAGAGATGTTAGCCAGAGAGAAGAATTAAATTAATTTTCATACTATCCCTGGTTTTGGGCATGTTCTCTTTTTCTTTTTTTTTCTAGTCCTTCTCTTACTTTAGCCATGGAGTTTTTTTATGACTCCTGAGTGGTCTATATAATAACATTTCTCTCCTAGAGCGGCACAAACTCCCCCTTGTTGTTGGAAAAGGATATCCATACCTCTTTTTAATTGTAAGGTTAGTTCAGCTAAGGAGGTTAGGGATGCTTGGAGTTTGGTGATGGATTCTTCTAGTCTTTCTATATCCTGATTAATTGCTGCTCTAAGTGAGTTATATTGCTGATGTTGGGTTACGATAGATGCAATTCTAGCTTCCGCTAGCCCTAGTCCTAATAAAACAGTTAAAGTTATAGTAGAAACTGGTTCCTGTTTGACTCAGCGGGGAACAGTTTTACATTTATCTAGAAAATTGTCATACTGGTGGTATAATACATGAGGTACTAAGTAGACTAATACATAAAAGTCTTTGGTTTTGTTTAAGAACTTGCCCATGAAGGTAAGGGGATAATTCCGAGGAACAAGTTCATTATCTGTTGGGTGGTGTGAGAGTTAGAAGAGGAATTTACATAGTTACCAGTTATCAACAGTAATACTAGTGAGGTCTACATTGCTGAACTTTTAGTTTGAGTAGATTGTTGGGGTCCTTGGAGACGTGCCATTTCTGGTCAGGGATAGGATCGGCTTTGCGGACGTGAGTATGATGAATCCAGGAGGTTATTCCGTAAACTTTGAGGGCGATGGGTGTGGTCAGGATCATGACGTAGGGTCCTTTCTAGCGAGGTTGTAGAGTCTCTTGTCGATGTCTCCGCCCATACACCCAATCACCTGGCTGGTACTGGTGAAGTTCGGGAGGGGGACTTGAAGAGAATAAATGAGTTCATAATTATCAATTTCACGTAACAAATTGGACTGGAATCTGGGAGTAATAGGTGGAGGTCTACCAAAGACAATCTCAAAAGGTGTTAATCCCAATTTATAAGGAGAGTTACAGACCCGAAATAGGGCGAAGGGGAGGAGAGTCACCTAGTCTCCATCAGTTTCTATGGTTAATTTGGTTAAGGTCTCTTTTAGAGTTCTGTTCATTCTTTCTACCTGGCCTGAACTTTGGGGTCTATAAGCACAATGTAATTTCCAATTAGCCCCAAGAATAGTTGCTAAACCCTGTATTACCTTAGACACAAATGCCAGTCCATTATCTGACCCTATTGTAGTAGGAAAAGTGTACCTGGGTAGGATGTCTTTTAGTAGTTTCTTGGCTACAATGTGGGCTGTTTCTCGCTTGGTGGGGAAGGCTTCCAACCACCCTGAAAAGGTATCTATAAAGACTAACAAATATTTATATCCATATTTCCCTGGTTTTACCTCTGTGTAGTCCACTTCCCAGCAAGTTCCTGGTTTGCTGCCTCTTAATCTGGAACTTAGATTCGAAGGGTTTTTAGTAACATTGGTTAATTGGCAGGCTTTACAATCAGAAACAATTATTTTAATTTTACATTGAACATTCTTAATTATCACATCGGCCTGTTTTAGTAATTCCTGCATCTTTTTGGTTCTTAAATGGGTGGTCTGATGCATTTTGAATAAAATTTCTTCTCCCAGTTTTTCGGGGAGGATGGCTTTGTGATCTGCTGATTTTTACCAGTTACATACGTACTGAGTTCCGGGTAGTTGTTTAATCTATTTCAAATCTTCTTCAGTGTAATTGGGGTTCGTAGGTAAGGTGGGGCTCCCAGGATCAGGCAAGTTGGAGGTGAGTACTAGATTAGTAGATAGTGCAATCTCTCGAGCAGTTTGATCCGCTAAATTATTGCTTTGGGCGACAGGGGAGGTGGTTTTCTGGTGTCCTGGACAATGAATGATGGCAAATTTCTTAGGGAGCCATAGGGCAGCTAGTAACGACTGTATAAACATTTAATTTTTTGTCTTTTCCCAAAGTCAGGGCTTTGGTTAGTGCTATTAGTTCAGCTCGTTGAGTCGATGTTCCGGCTGGTAACGGCTGGGCTCAAACTATTGCAGTTTCTGTCACCACTGCCGCCCCCCGCATACCTTAGTCCATCACGCACAAAGCTGCTCCCATCTGTATACCAGGTAACCTCGGCATCTGGCAAGGGTGTATTTTGTAGGTCAGCTCTGGTTCCGTGTACTTGCGCCAGAATGTCGATGCAATCATGGAGTGGAGTACTCAAATCCGGATCCGGTAACAGGGTGGCAGGGTTTAGTGTCATAGGTGATTGGAAGATAATCTTAGTTGGGTTCAGTAACAGTCCTTGGTAGTGGGTGAGCCGTGCATTGTTGAGCTATTGACCAGGGGGTTGCTTAAGAGTTTCTTTTATGGCATGTGGGGTGGTGACATATAGTTCCTGTCCCAGTGTAAGTTTGCCCGTATCTTTGACTAGTAAGGCTGTTGCTGCTATTATGCGTAAGCACGGGGGCCACCCCGCCGCTACTGGGTCCAATTTCTTTGCGAGATAGGCTACCGGTCTTTTCTAGGGGCTTAGGTGTTGGATTACAACTTCCTTCGCTACCCCTTTATTTTTTTCATGGCCTCTGTCCACTGAAATTTCTGCTCCTCCTTGGTTGCTTCATAGAGAGGCTTTGCCAGTTCTGCAAAACCTGGTATCCAGAGTCTACAGTAGCCGGTTGATCCTAGGAACTCCCGCACCCTGTGTGGGGTGTTGGGTCTAGGGATTTTTAGCACAGTCTCCTTGCGGGCCCTAGTCAGCCATCTTTGTCTTTCTTTTAACATGTACCCCAAATAGTTCACCTCGAGTTGGTAAAGTTGAGCCTTTTTGGCTGAGGCTCTGTAACCCATGTCTCCTTGGGGTTTAAGTAAGACTGAATGTTGGGCCCCGGTGTCCACCAGGAAGTCAATTGGGGTCCCCTCCACTTTAAGAGTTACTCTGGGTTCGGGGAGGGGGACCGGACCCCGTCACCCCTAATCATTGAGTTCCCCCAATTCTAGTACTTAGTCAGTGGTTTTTGAGTTCTTTTATTTGGGCACTCTTTTGCCTAATGTCCATCTTCCTTGCAATAGGCACACTGATTCTTGCCCAGTTTAGGGGGCGTCCTCCCTTAGGGGGGGTCCCCCTTACCTCGGTATTTTGCAATTTTCCGCAGTTGCTGTTCTTTCTCTCGGATGATCCCCGGTTGTTGAGGCAAGTAAGATTTTTGCAAGGTTCCGAGTGTTCCGGTCACTGGCTGCTGCTAGTGCCTTGGCCTATTGGTCCTCTGGACTTTCCCTGTGATTATAAACCCTCTCTGCAACTAGTATTAAATCCTGAGTACTTTTTTCATTTAGTCTGTCAATTTTTTGTAACTTTCTCCTAATGTCTGAGGCTGCTTGATTCACAAAAGCCATGATCAGTGCAGCCTTAGTTTCAGGCGCTTCCGGATTCATGGGGGTATATTGACGAAATGCTTCCATTAATCTTTCTAAGAAAGCGGCAGGACTTTCATCCCTCCTTTACTGTACATCACCTACTTTAGCTAAATTGGTGGGCTTCCTA